TGACTTAGGGGTTCATGTGGCCCATTATAAAGAAGGTTGGAGGCATTTGCAAAATCGGAATCTAGCTCTGGCTGGATTTTGAACAGCCCAGTGGTGGAAGGTGCTTGAATCTAGGGATTTGCTTCAAGACCTTCTCTCATGTGCCCACAATGCATTAACACACAGGTGAAAGCTCCAGACATGTCTCATTTCCAGTGAGCCCATCAGGTCGTCTACCTCGGCTGCTCGGACCAGCACTGCTGTATTAATACACATCCCAAGGATGAAACTGCCTCAGTTATTGACAGAAACGTCTGTGTTCAGGAGAAGGGCCTTTGATTTTGGCCAAAAGGCCCAAACGCTCTCGGTCAGGCAGGAGCATCGCTATGTTAGCTCCATCTCTAAAATCAGCAGAGCCAGAAAGCGAGTGGAGGAGCATCTAGACTAGATACAACGAGGAAATAATCTGCTTGAGGTTTAGAGGGAAACCGCAGGGCTAATTGCTGTCACTCACTCCCTCTGCTGGTAAAAAAGAAAAAACTCAGGCACTTAAACAGCCCCATAAAGTTACACATGATTACAGCTACGTTTTAGTCACGGGTAGTTTTAGTAAAAGTCATGGACAGGTCACAGGCAGTAACCAAAAATTCATGGCCGGTGACCTGTCCATGACTTGTACTATATATCCCTGACTAAATCTTGGTTGTTCTAAGGCCGTGGGTGGCCCAGGGGTGCCGCGGGTGCTCTGGGGCAGGGAGTGGCTTGGGAGCGCTATGGTTGATCTAGGGGGGAGACCGGGGGCACCTCAGATGCTCTGGGGGGGCAGCGCTTGGCCCAGGACCCCCGCGGGTGCTGGGGGGGATGGGCGGCAGTGCCCGGCCCGGGACCCCCGCAGGTGCTGGAGAGAGGGGGGCTGGGCGGTGGCTGCCAGGGACCCCACTGCTGCTGGGCTGGGGGGCACAGTGGCAGAGACCTCTGCTTCTGCTGCTGGGGGACGAAGGGGGCGGTGGCCTGAGATTGCCTCAGCAGCAGCCGGTGCAGCTGGCCCAGGGGCTGCCCGAGATATTTGGACAGGCCCGGAGCCAGCCGCACCGGCCACCGCAGAAATCACGGAGGTCCCAGAAAGTCACAGAATCCACGATCTCCGTGACAGACTCACAGCCTTACACATGATCCTGGTTTAGAATTTAGCTACAAATTAATAAGAAAGGCCACTCCAGACTGTCCCACTTCCCCCAACTCACAGAACTTGACGGTGGCAATGGACCAGGGGCACCAGCTCTGGCTATGCCCATGACTCCCAGCCACTCGCTGTAAACAGCACACATTTCCCAGCATGCCCTGCACTCCAGTATGCATGTTACACATCCCCTATTAATGAGTTAAGAGCAGATACAAATCGCTACATGTTCCCAGCCCATAAACTTCATTAACCTATAGCTAAAGTGTAAAATCTTCATTATGTTATTTGAACGTTGCTTGGGTTTTGCATGTCGTTTCGGGGAGTGGATGAGCTCCAACCCAGGAATAAGTGAGTTTCCATTTTATTTACTGTGATGTCTTTCGATTTCGGCACCAGGCCTTGCGTCATTATTCAGCTGGGTGAGGAAGGGCCATTTAGAACCACATCCAACGCCCACTGAAATGGTTGGGAGTCTCTCTGACGACTTCAATGGGCTTTGGCTCAGGTCTTTAATGTTCCTATTTGGATCTGAAGACTGGGCCCCAGCTCTCTGAACCAGCAGGCTCCGCACACGTCTAACGGCAATGAGATTCTGGGCTGAAGGCAGAAAGGGCTCCAGCTCAGAGATACTCTGCGTTCTGTTCACAGAGGCTTGGGCGTGGAGAGCAAGCCGGAGCTCCAGCGAGTGCTTGAGCACCGACGGCGAAATCAGCTGCTCCGGCAGAAAAAGGAAGAAGAAGAGGCAAAGAAATTGCAGTCTCCATTTGAACAAGAGCTCCTGAAGCGACAGCAGAGGCTGGATCAGGTAGAAACTGAATTTTAAATCACTCCCGATGTTATCTGAAGTGCCCCGCACAAGGGCTGGAAGGTGCTTAAAATGGAGCCAAGTCCAAAGAGAGGGTTTGCTCTCCATGGCCTTATTCCTACCCCGAGTGCGAACTACAGTGGCTGAGTAAAAACAACAAGGCGTCTGGTGGCACCTTAAGGACTAACAGATTTATTTGGGCAGAAGTGGCTGAGTAGTGGCACTCCAAGGCATCCTGTCCCCAGTGGGCAGCCTCTGGCAAAACACCCCCCAGAGACTGACGGAAATTGTTGACATAACATTTTTTCACCAGAAAATGCCAATCGCTCAAAAGCAAAACCTTCCCCGGGAAAGTATTGGGATGGGCAAAGCTTTTGGTGGGAAGGTTTCTCGGGTCCAGGATGGAATTTCTGGTCAAACCCCGAGAGAGGGAGACCCACCCGGGAATAGCCAGTAATCCAGGGGTTAGGGTTATTACCTAGGCCACGCGGAGCCAGGTTCTGGTCCTGGCTCTGTCTGATGCAGCCTCTCACATCCCAGGTGCACGCCCTAACCACTGGGCTCTTGGCTGGTCTCTGTCTCGCTCGCTCTCGATTTCGGGGTGTAAAATTTCGAAAGGTCTCAGTCTGTTCTGGTGCAGAACGAAACCTAATGGCAACACCATGACATGTGTCACAAAACGGTATTTTTGTTTGCTGGCCAGGCCCACTCTATAGCATTCCATACACCTGTGCTGGCAGGAACCAGGGCCTCCCTTCAGACCTGCTGCCAGCCCAGGCGACTGAGTGAATTTCACTCTGATTTTACTGTCTAGTTTCTCAAACTACGTACAAGTGAAATCTTTAGCTGTTCCAGATCTAATAACTACATTAAAATAATAGTTTATAATTATCCATTGTTTATTTATGTAGGGACAGGTTTGCTCCCCTTACGCACATTAAGTAGTACCTTACCCTGTAAATAGCTCCACTGAAACCAATATATTAGAGGGATTAATACAAGGGAGGGAGAGGAATTATTCCAGCTTAGTACTAA